CTCCCCAGGTCTCCCTACCCCCCTGGCCCGCCACCCACCCAGTGCCCTGGCTCTGTGGGTCAGGGCCCCGCAGCACCCAGCGATCAGGTGTGTCACTTTGCAAGAGCTCCGGTGGCCTGGCTGCAGGGGGTGTTGAGGTGCGGGGCAGGAGCGCCGGGGCCCTGGGACCTCCCACCCCACCCCACAGCATGTCTGGGAGCAGGCCAGGGTCCCGCAGCCTGGCTAGACCGTCACTGGCCCCAGCCTCCGGATGACAAACCGCCCTGGAGAGGACACTGCTGGAGATGGGGCAAAGATGGGGGCCAGGGTCTCCCTCCCGCAGGGGCTCCGTGTCTCCCAGCCCCATGAGCCTGCGGTGGTAGGGAAGAGGCTCAGGGTGGGCTCTCGTCCCCATCGGTGCCTCCCTGACCCCTTGCAGTGTCCCTGGTGGGAGCCCTGGAGGGTGAGGAGAACATGCTGGGGCAGCCCCATGGCGGTCAGCGTTGCTGCCCCTGATGCCGGTCTCCTGGCAGTGGGGGACACGATCCACCACGCTGAGTTCCAGCAGCGGGTTGAGCCATTGCAGCAGGAGGATGGGGAGTTCCAGGAGGCGTTTGACGCCGACGAGGTCTTCCACGTGGATCTGCAGAAGCAGGAGACCGTCTGGCGCCTGCCCAAGTTCGGGAGCTTCGCCAGCTTCGAGGCGCAGGGAGCGCTGCAGAACATGGCTGTAGACAAACAGAACATGGAGATCATGATGAAAAGGTCCAACCGCTCGCAGGCAACCATCGGTAACAACCCAGCCACGGCACGGCCAGTGCCTTCACCCCTGGGGACCCTGCCAGGGCCGTTGCTCCCGCACCCTGTGGCCCAGCTGGCAGCGGGGTGCACAGCGCCCTGCTCCCCTGGAGCATGTGGAGACCCGGGCACAGCCCCAAGCTGGGGTGCGGGGTCTCCCTGGGTGGGCGGTGGAGCACAGCGAGGCCGGCTCTACGGGGCAGGAAGCCTCAGCCCAGCCCAAGGCCGTGAAGCCTGGCCGACCCCAGACAGCACTAACCCCTTCTCCATCTCCCCCCAGTGCCACCCGAGGTGACGGTGTTCCCTGAGGACCCCGTGGAGCTGGGGGACCCCAACGTCCTGATCTGCTACGTGGACAAGTTCTGGCCGTCCATGATCTCCATCACGTGGCTGAGGAACGGGCAGGAGGTGATGGATGGCGTCTTCGAGACCGTTTTCTACCCGCGGGAGGACCACAGCTTCCGCAAGTTCTCCTACCTGCCCTTCATCCCCACCCGGGGGGACTACTACGACTGCCGGGTGAAGCATGAGGGGCTGTCCGGCGCCCTCCTGAAGCACTGGGGTGAGGAGGGGGGCTGGGCTGGGGCCCCGACGCCTGGGTCCCCTCGCCTGGCAGGCAGCGAGGGAGGCTCAGCGCCCCCTCCTCACCCACCCTCACCCCTCCGCAGAGCCTCAGGTGCCCCTCCCCGCCTCCGAGAGCACCGAGACCCTGGTGTGCGCCCTGGGCCTGGCCGTGGGCATCGTCGGCATCATCGTGGGCACCATCCTCATCATCAAGGCCATGAAGATGAACGGCACCCGCAACCAGCGGGGCCTCTTGTGAGGGGGCAGAGCCCAGAGTGCCCTCACAGCCCTGTGCCCTCCCACCAGCCCTCGCCGTCATGTCCCAGCCGCGTGCCCCACCCTCCAGCTCTGCCTTCATGGCCAAGCCTCGTGCCTCGTGTGCCGGCCAGCTCCGTGCCCCCTGGCCCAACCACGAGCCATGCACCCCACCCCATGCCCCGCGTCCCAGCCCTGCACCGCACACCCCTGACACCAGCCCCCCCCTCG